ACATATTAATTACTGGGAGCGATCCAAACTTCATTGATTCATTTTTTCATACATTGAGCAACAATTTCAACATGAAGGACCTTGGACCACTTACTTATTTTCTTGGCATTGAGGTCAAATGAACTTCACATGGTCTCACACTATCTCAGTGCAAATATGCCTTGCAGTTGCTTGAGCGAGCTTCCATGACACACTGTAAACCTTACTCCCCACCAATGTCTACCAAACCTTCTAGTGCTCCTACTGATGATAATGTCTATCATGATCCATCTTTTTACAGAAGTATTGTTGGTGCATTGTAGTACCTTACCATTACTCGTCCTGGCTTATCATTTGCTGTTAATTATGTCTATCAACATATGCATAATCCACTCAACAAACATTTTACTACTGTCACACGTATACTTCGTTTTGTGAAAGGCACATTACACCATGGGATCACCTTCACCGCTGGACCTCTTGATATCATTACCTACTCTGATGCCAATTGGGCAGGTAATGCTGCTGATCGTCGATCCACTACTAGGTCTTTTCTTTTTCTCAGAAATAATTTAATATCTTGGTGTGCAAAAAAATAGCCCATAGTAGCTTGCTCCTCAACTGAAGCTGAATATCGTGCCCTAGCAAACACTGCAACTGACATTACTTGGCTCAAAATGCTTCTTCATGATCTTCAAATTCAAGGACCTTCTACTCCAATTATATGGTGTGACAACATTTCCGCAATCTTGCTTGCCTCCAATCTAGTTTTCCATGCCTGCACAAAACATATAGAGGTGGACTACCATTTCATACGCGAAAAGGTTGTTCAACGAGAACTTGAAGTTCAGCATATTTCCACTATGGATCAAATTGCCGATATTTTTACCAAACCTCTGTCATCCAAACGGTTTAATCATATCAAATCCAAGTTGATGATGGATTTCATTGCCCCATCAACTTGACGGAGGGTTTTAGAAGACTTATACTGATTTCATGACTCTAGGAGTTATCTTTATCTTCACAGATTGTTATCTCCTACTTCAGTTAGTATTCTAATAGTTCTAGGAATGTATTTAGCAGATTACATTCTGTTTGGTATACTTATCTTGTAATCTATTGATTAGTATAAAGAAGAACCATATGCATTGGACTTTCATCATGGAAGAAAGGTCCATTTGATTTCTTATTCAGTTGGGTTATTCTTCAGAACGAGTTCAACAATTGTTTTTAGTACCTATATAGGTTGCAATACCTCATCAACTTTTCCAAATGATTTTTATTACTTTCACATATATTCACACAAAGGATTTTATTGAAGATTGTGGCGAAGAACTCTGGATATGGGGCATCTTTACTCGCCATCTTGCTCAACAAGCTATACAACAATTCTTTCATTGCGAAGCTTTTTTCAAGTTCCTTTATCTAGCCTTCATATCACTGTAAGAAATTTGTTCAATATGATGCTTTCAATTCGACATGGTGAATTTGACATTGTTAAAGTATCTCGAATTCCTGTAATTAATGTCCTTAATTATATCATTTTGTGTTCCCAGTTGTTGTAGCTTTTCTTGAAAACGAAAATTGCAACTTCACGGCTGAATCAAATGATGGTGAATGCTTCTAAGCAACATTTTCACTTTTCCAAGGTATTCAAAAGAAAAGCCAATTAAAGATTCACCATGTATTTTTTAATGAATTACTTACCATATTGTTTGGAGATAATTTTGTAATAGATATGAGTTGTTGGCCTATGGATGAATTTTTTTTGTTCTTCAAGTGTCATTATAGGGTTAGTGAAGATGATAATTGAATTTTCCCCTTTTGCTACTGAACCTATAGAGACATGTTTTGTGGAGATTTGATTTTTAGATTTTTAATGCGATTGGTTTGATGTGGTAGTGTGTGTACTGGTACTAAGATCTTTATTTTGTCAATCATTGTGAGATTTCTTCTTGAAAAATACTGTCTCTCTGACCACCGATCACCAATGTAGCCCCTAAACTAGCACTTCTAGCCCTCAAGTTATGGAGGCTTCTTCTTGATATGGTTTACATTTGACCTTATATTTATTGCTATAAGTTGATATGAAGTTCATGATATGGGCTTCATTGATTGATTCATAGTTAATGTCCAAAGAAAGAAATGGTGAATGGTTAGTTGGTCCCAGAATTTCAAATTTTTTGTGTTAGTAAATTTGAAGTTTTTGTTGATTTGCATGTATTCATTTTTTTCCTATTTGGTTCTGTTTAATTAAGTAGGAGTGATTTTGGTTGTTTTATATGTTTTTTGACAGTGACAGAGTTACAGAACTTAATTGTGTAAGAGGTGAAATCATTTTCAAAATCTTAAACAAGTAGTGGAGTATACAAATAGCCAACCATCTCTCAAAACAAGAGAAGTTGATTTTTCTTCTTCTTTAAACTTGGTGGAAAAGAAATGCATTTGTACACATACAATTTTTTTTAGGTCGTTTATTAATGCACATGTACATATTTGTATTGTTGCTGTAAATATAATTCTATGGATAGGCTTGGGTTTCTCTCCAAGCTTTCCTTTTCAAAAGAGCTCAATAGAGTTGCACACACCTCCTCAAATGCTAATCAAAAGATAATATAGAAAATTCAGATTTGATGAGAGCAATTTCATTATATTTTTCAAAGAGTTCAAATGCAAAATTTCTTTTGGAAATCTACAGATACCATTTTTTTTTACAGCAGTCATATACTATGTTTGGCGTGAGATAAATTCCAGGCGCCGTGAGGGGAATCCAAGCAGTAAGTAGAACGTCATTTTGGAAAATTGTATGAAATTCACAAGCAATTGGTGAGTAGATGTTATACACAAAAATTGTCTTGGGTTTTACAATAGGTAAAGATACATGAGATTAATCATGTTGATGAATTTGTGTTAGTGAAACTTCTACTTGGTGGTGGATGATGTTGGCAATTTTGGTGGGTAAGACGCTATGGAGAAGCTTTGAAATACGTTGTTCATGTCTATGGTAGTGTCTCTAAAGTACAGTACTTACAAAACTTGAGGGAAATCGAGGCCTATGTTGTTGAAGAAACTGTAAAGGCATATAGAGATTTCTTTTCTTTGTGTTTTTAGTATTAACCCACTAGATGGTACTATCTTCATGAAAGCTAATATATGTTCTTAATAAGAATGCTAGAAGCATTATTTTAGGTTTAATCTTCAGATTTTGAGCATGGTTGAACTTTGGATAACTAAGAATTTTTTAAATAGTTTATACCTTGCATTTTTGTGATAGGTATTAGATTCTTTTTCTTATGACTTTTTATATGATATTGTATCTATGGATCCTGCAACATCAATAAGTATGTGAAGTATGGTTGTTCAGAGTTTGCTGAGTTAGTTTTTGATTGGTTGGAAATGTGGATTAATTTGTGGCATGGTTGGATTATTTTTTTGTTTGATTACTTGGGTTTGTTGTGTTAAGAGATATGCTTAGGATTATAGAATTTGGTTTTCTCAACTTTTTTTCATATATATTGGCTGAGTTGGGTTTACTTTTCTTTTTTCGAAAGGTAGTTCATATTTTACTTTTATTTAGTAATTTTCATGAAAAGAAAATTTCGATTAAAAATATAAATTTATTTGGGTTAAATATGTTTAGATTAGATAAACAAGTTAAATAATTGTGTTATGTCAGCCATGTCAACCCAGACAATTATGTACTAAAAGTGTTGATAGTGGATTACGTCAACTCGAATATGATATGTTCATTAAACGGGTGATTAAGTTGGATTATTTGACAATATTAACCAAATAGTTTTAGGGTTAAGGAGTTTTTGACACAAACTTAAAATTACATATCTCTCGATCACTATCCATACTTTAGGCACTATAAGTTTTTTAAATAAATACATGTTTTTTGAATTAGCGTCTTTTTTGTTACTAAGTGCCTTCAAGCACATGCATTATCTAGTATATATATATATATAATAAACAAATTAGATGGAATGTGACTTAAGAAACTTTCTCTCTCATTTTTTTTCCTTATAATTTTCAATTATTTAATTATCACACATGGTTTTAACCAATTATATTCTAATACATATCTCATGTAACTACATCTCTACCCATTATTTATTTACCAAAAAATTACTAATTTAAATTTTTTTAGAAATATAATTTTACCACCCTAACTTTTTATAATTATTTTATCACCCTAAGTTTTCATAATTTTCTATTTAAGAGGAGGGGGGGCAAGAGTAAGGGGAGGGAAATGGATGTGTGTAAATTTTGTGGATTGCACGTGCCCGTCCTTGTACATGTATAAGTCATTTTTGTGGGTTTTATGTTCCATGGACGAAGGTCCTAAGATTGTACGCGTTAGTTCATTTTTTTTTTTTTTTANTAAGTTTTCATAATTTTCTATTTAAGAGGAGGGGGGGCAAGAGTAAGGGGAGGGAAAGGGATGTGTGTAAATTTTGTGGATTGCACGTGCCTGTCCTTGTACATGTATAAGTCATTTTTGTGGGTTTTATGTTCCATGGACGAAGGTCCTAAGATTGTACGCGTTAGTTCATTTTTTTTTTTTTTTAAATTTTTTTTAATATTTAAAATTTATCATTCATGATTGTTTTGGATGTAAGAATACATACAACTCATTCTAAAATATTATTATCAAAAAATAAAGTACATGATATCAAAATTTGCTAGATGAATAAAAGAAACTGAATAATTTGAAAAAATTACACTTTGACCATCTCTACAACGGCCTCACTTTGCCACTTGAATTTTTAAATTTCTCATATTGCCACCTCAACTATGGCAATTGGTTTCAATTTCCACCCAAAAGAAAAGGTCTGGTTATCCTTTTGATGGAAAATGTCCACTATTGGGGGAAAATGAAACAAAATCACACAACTCGACACTAATAACTATGACGGAAAGTGCAATCTGCCCGAAATCCATACCCTTCTCTCGGTAAAGAATGTCACGACCTTCAAAACAATCAAGAAAACGCCTTCAATGGGCTGTTTGTCACTGACCTACATAGGACTGTTTGTTACAGATCTATACACTGATTTCTTCTTCTGATGTAACTGTTCCTTTAGTTGAAGGATCTTGGCATCAACTCTTGCCGAAAAGCCAAAGTTGGTCGTCTTGTTCGAGTTCTGTTGCTCCCTCAACCACATAGCACAATCAGTAATATCTTTTCTATAGCTCTTCATTTCCTGGATCAAATGATCATCCATAGGATAAAACAACCTCTGAACGACAATGTGAATGTAGTAGGGAAGAAGCGAAACAACAACTATAAGCAATGTGGCAATCCAGTAAATTGGAGCAGGCCCTATAGCCTCTACCAAGAGGCGAAAAGCTCTATAAGAGTACTGAGGAGGAAGAGCTCCATACAAGAACAAGAAGATGTACCAACATAATATGCTTCCCCATATTAGAAAATGTTGAATCCATGTGAAGTGAGTGATGATGAGAGCTATTTGACAATTGACGGTCCAGATAAGGCATGTGTAGGTGATTGTCCCCAAGTGATCGACGTCCGCAATATCTCCTTCCCGAAATGCAGTTAGGGACAGTATGTAGATGTTTAGCAGGAAGATGGCTAGAGAAGCAAATACGCCGTTTAATATCCAACCAATGATTCGTTTCCAACTGAAACAAATGTTCCTTTGTCCCTGTTGATAGAGGGCTGGAAACTTTTCCATTGATAGACAAAAATGAGAAACTATGTTAGAAGCTTGTCATGTTGAAACAGTGAAATGGAATTAATGTAGTATTGGTTTCTGTTGAAAATGTACATAATGATCTGATGCATTTCCAGTTACAGTGATCCCCTCCTATTATTTCAGAAAAATTCATTACATACAAGTAAGGATCAAAATTCGCTTCGTTTTGTTTCAATTTTAGTGGAAACCGAAATGAATCAGTTGTTGAAAATCAAAATGCTCATGTTTTAGAATAGTTTGGGATGTTTTCTGATGTTTATTCCAGCATTTCAGAGTCAAAATTTCAACAAAAAAAAATCATTGTTTCTATTTTGGTTCAGAAGCATAAATGTTTCTCAGCTAACTAGAACTATACACTGAAAGAAAATTTTAATCGTTGCATATGTTATGTTTGGATGCTAGTCATATTTAACCGTAGGGTGCCTGAGTTTAAACCTTCCCATTATTGGTTCTGTGAAACTTTGGTTTAAACCTGTGGCTTATAATGTAAAAACGAGTTTGCTATACATGCTTTTGATGCCACTTTAAATTAAAGGTGATTGTCTTTTGCAAACACGTTTTTTCTTTGAAACCGTGAATTTAAACCACGCTTTTATGAAACCAACCATAAACTGACAAGTCCAAACAATGGTGAAGTAGTAATAAAGATTCAAAATAACCATACTACTCTAAAAAATTGGATCTCCTTACCTGCAAACACACTTCAGATGAAAGATCTTGCTCCAAGACACCCAAAGCGATAACCGGCAAGGATGTCAATAGGACATTAAACATGACCATATACCAATCATCGTATAAAACATCCCCAGAGAAAGATGTATATACTTCATAATAGAATAGAGTAAGACCAAATGCTATGTTCTTGTACACGAAGTACAGAATCTGCAGGCAAAGAAAAGAGTTGTTCAAGTATGGTGTACACAAATCTGACAAATAAAAAAGCACAGAAACAACATTGATTTGAAAGAGTGCTGAGAAGCTTCACCATCTTAGTGATTCTCTTGTAACACCAGTGCCCATGAACTATTAGTAAGCGCTCCAAGAAACGAAACTGAGGCAATGAAAAGTCGCTCGCCATAACTGCCTGCAAATGAGATACCATAATTGTGTATGTCGGACATTCAATATTCCATCCAATTGTTGTGAACTTGAGGTGGTGTTTCCTTCTTGGTATGGTGTTGTTATTATTACATGCCTCTGGTTCTTGGTTTGATCAGGTAGGAAATGCAAACAAAAAGGTAATTATATTTTTACAATTTCATATTCCGGATAGACTGCAATGGTCTGTGCCTAAAAATTTCAGGCTATGAAAATGGATGGGTAGCAAGAGTTGTAATTATCGCTTTGTAATTGTTGAGCTGCCTAGTTCCATTATTATTTAGTCAAGAGCTTAAACAGAGGCCAACTGAGAGGTTTCTATCCTTTCTATTAAGTTCACAGTCATTAAGTGGATGCAAAGAGGAAAGCCAAGTCCTCAATCAACTAAACCCATTCAAAGTTTATGATCCCCCTGAGGTGCATTAGCTTCGTTGAACTAGATACTTGGCATTTACCATGTTTTCATGATATTATTTTTCATTTTGCTATCTAACAGGCATTAGTTCCAATGACCACATTGCTTCAATATGTGAACCTTGAGGTCTTGATTGAGAAAGTTGAAACGTCAAGGACCAAAGTGAGACTATGGGTAAACTTAGGGACCATTGGTGCACCTTACCCTTTCATAAGTTGGGAATGAAACATTGAAACAACTAGCAGAAACTGATATTAGTAAATGTACTATGGAATTTTTTTTTTTNTCTAACAGGCATTAGTTCCAATGACCACATTGCTTCAATATGTGAACCTTGAGGTCTCGATTGAGAAAGTTGAAACGTCAAGGACCAAAGTGAGACTATTGGTAAACTTAGGGACCATTGGTGCACCTTACCCTTTCATAAGTTGGGAATGAAACATTGAAACAAATAGCAGAAACTGATATTAGTAAATGTACTATGGAATTTTTTTTTTTAAAAAGTGAGTAGGAACCAGTTTTTTGGACAAAAAAAAGAAACAATTGTTAAGAGGTATGCATTTGCTAGTGGAAAAAGCAGTTGTGGACCGCATAAAAATACATTTAAGATGTAAAAATCCTAAAGTCATAAGCAGCAAAAAGTAATTTAAATGCATTATGCAGCATATTTGTAACCTTAAAACAAAAAGGCAAAATTGTAAACAAGCCTGTCAAACTATAAATATATATGTGTGTGTGTGTATACACACACACACATATATGTGGCCCCTTACGTGTGAGCCAGATTGTTTGGTCAACTACGTGCAAAAATTAGAATTAGGAGGGTGGCAGCAGATTTGAATGCTACTTTTAGAGAGTATGCAGCGAAAATATTTATATACTCCAACAAATTAACTACTAGACAAACTTAATATTACCTGCATTCCTTCAACACCACTGATTCCAACTCCAATATCAGCTTCTTGAATCATACCAACATCATTTGCCCCATCCCCAATTGCCAAAGTCGTCTTGCCAGTGTAATCTTTTACCAATCGAGTAATCTGACAGTTAAGCATATGCGTCATTAAATGTTAATGGACAAGAAAGACAAGACTGAGTGAGTTAATGAAGCTATGAAATCATTATGATTAGTCATTAGTCGCAGAATATATACTTGGCTGTAGTAAAATCAGTAGTTTTTATCCCAAAATCCCTCCGTCAAAAATACTGCTTTTCAAAATTTTTGAAGAATACCAATAACACATTCAATATTTGTGTGAAACCAGCACCAGGTAGTGTATAAAATTTATATAATATGTGGAGATCAGAGACGCCCTACCAAAGCTTTCTGTTTAGGAGAAACACGACAGCATATAACTGCAGCACAATGAACCGCCAGCCGCAAGAACTGATCCCTTGTGTCACTTCTTAGAGCAATTTCAAGAGCTTTCCCATCTACCACCAAAGCGAAGGGAGAATCTTTGTTGTTCTCTTCCATTGTTACTTGATAAGAACTCTCAATTTGACGTAAAATATCATCTTTTATAGCCTGTAAACTAGAAGAACAAGTATTCATCATTCCCAAAGGATAATTATCTTTAAGCATCTATTGGTTTTTTCGTATTCAGAAGCCCATAAAAGATTACTGGTATTATATTCAGAATATCACCTTCACTTGATTGGCAGATTCAGCTTCTTTGCTTAAAGTCAAATGAAATTGTTTCATATCATGCCGAAGTAAACTACAGGAAAATCTGCCAGAATGGAGGATACCAAAAAGAGACAATGGAAACTTATTAGCAACTGCCAAGATTGATAGTATGAGCCAGTGAACAACAATATTATTTTGAGTTTCCCCTTTTGGTATTCCTGAAATGGTTCTACTCTCACAAAAGATACACGTCTCACCCAATATTGACTGCAGTTTCCTTCTTGTCTCCAGTGAGCAGCCATACCTTCAGGCCAGCTTGCGCAAGTTTATCTATGCACTCAGGAACCTGATTTTAATGTGGTGAAAAACTAGCGTCAAGCAACAACTTTTCCAACTTTGTTTACATCTCTCTTGTTTAGGATAACCGTAAATAAACAATTTGGGCTCCAAACAAGATTTGCTAAAATATAATTTTTTTTGACATCCCAAAGACATCGTTGAAGAAGTTTAAAAGTCGTAGCCATAAACTAGATTAAGGTTGGGGAAAAATAATAGCATACTAAATAGCATTACTCCTCTTTATATCATAATCCAAAATAAGTGGTAATGGAACCATTCAGAGTGTATTGAAGGTTTTAATGCTGCTAATTTTATGTTCTTTTAGAGACTTTTTCCAAAACTTATCACAGATACAGATATACACGTTGCATCCTGGTGTGGGGATGTAGAACAAAGAGAGACAGAGAGAGAACTAACCCCATTTTGTAACTTGTCTTCGACAGCTACGGCTCCTACTAAAACCAAATCTTTCTCAATCAATTCAGAGGCCTTCTCTAGTAGTTCTTCTCTTTCTGGACCTATTGTGGCCTTAGCTTTTGTAAATATTGAGTTCCAACGTTCATACTCAGTCAACTCCACTTTTCGGTATGCAAAGACCATAGTTCGCAAGCCATCTTCTGCATAATTTTCTAGGTGCATAGTTGTTGCCTGTTGGTATGTCCTACCATTATCTGCAAGTTTATCGAAGATAACACTGGAAACCAATATCAATCGAAAAATAAGATATTAGAAATTGAAGAGATTTAGATATTACAATCACAACTGAGAAACAAAGAAGTAACATCTCAATTAGACAAACATTCACCCAGGCTAGCCATTTTGATCAAATAATAACAAGACTAGAGACTTACTTGTCAGCGCCTTTGCTTAGGAGAAAGATCTGACCATCTTCATTACTTACTATCACGGACATCCTCTTCCTGGAGCTGCTGAACTCTAATAGATTTAGGAGCTTATATTCCCTGTAAAGGCAACTACAAAAAGTTGAAATATAAAACGCAAAAGAAAATAAAATAAAGATCAAAATTCTCAGTCAAACAAGTTTCACCTCTCCACCTCCAATGCAGAAGAAGGGTCAAGCTCTTTGACAACCATAATAGATTGAGTTCTTCGGCAAAACTTGAATCCAAATTCTTGTGCAGCAATCAGAAAGGCAACTTCCTCAGGAGACTCGGCCTCATACTTTAGTTTATCGGTTTGGTCATTTTCAATAGGTATGCCTGTGTGACACAGAGCCATGACTCTGAAGAACATTATCATTTCAGAGACATTTGATCTATAAATCCACATTTTGTTCATAAGCTGATCATCTCTAAAGTTTAGACCCTTAATATTAGATTGTTTCTCTGAAAGCGAAGTTCTCGCATTTCCAGTATCTATATTCTCCTCATCATGATCACAATCTAGAATACCCTTTTTCGTGCTAGCATCATTTACAGAGACTTCAAACATTTCAAAGCTGCGACTAGTTGAATCTGACCCTTCTAAGCTAAATCGATATCTGTCAACATCGATATTCATTTGTTTGGAAGCAGCAAGATCAACTTCATTTATATCACCGCCATATGAAATACCTTCGATTGAGCATTTTCTGAATTCCATCTGATTACAAGTCAAGGTCCCAGTTTTATCTGACAGAATAATTTCCACCTGGCCAAGTTCTTCATTCAAATTTGAAGTTCGGGCTTCAACTGACTTGGATGTTATTTCATCGAACATTTGTAAATCCTTATTGATGAGCATAGCTTGTAGTACTTTGACAACTTCAATGGAGACATAAAGAGAAATTGGAATCAAGTAGCCATACAATATGATGGCTCTGACAAATTGCATCAAACCTGAGAATTCAGGTTTGTATGGATTGAAAAGCGGATTATCATCTTCTTTCAGACGGAGGTACCATAACTTAACCATTTTAAATTCTGTAAACAATGCAGATCCGAAAGAGGTGACTAACGAAAGCAAAACCAACATAGAAAAAAGAACATAAATTACATAATCCATTTTCCGTTCTATCCTGCTACGTTTAGATGGTGATCTTGTGGAATTTCTCACTACTTTAGTATCCGGCCCACTAAAAATCACAACTCCATATATGTAATCAGTATTTCGAAGTTTTGAGTCTCTCAGAAGCATTTGGGAGGGGCACAAGGGGTACAACTCCTTTTCGAACTCCAAATTCCCCACAAAGGTGTAAAGGCTTGGATTTGGGTCCTCACATTGTATGGTGGCTTTGAATCTGCTGAATTCTACAACCTCATCTAGACCAAGGGTGGCCTCTAAGCATCTTTTCACTTTCAAATTGGTTTCTCCATCAAGGTTCATGGTCTCTACATAACAAACACCATCCTCATAGCTTGAAGATAATAATAGAAGGTCACTTGGAAAATATTCATTCTTCTCAACTTTGACAACTTCACCCACACAAAGTTCTCTCCATGGTTTCTCCACAAACAAACCATTTCCTATGTGAACCTTTACTTTGCGGGAGTTTACATTCATATCCTGCAAATCGTAATTCAATGATATGAATCATGAAAATGTGTGTAGAAGTAACAAGATTGAAGTTATTTACACACACTAATGAAATTTAATTTCACCGTTTCATTTAAAAAAGCTGGGCCAAATTATACTTTAACCCCCTCAACTCTGGCCTCAATCTCACTTTGTCCCTTGAACCAATGCATTTCTTGCATTGTCCCCTCATTTATTTGAATTGGTTTCACACTACCCAAAAACACACGCCTATAACATTTTTTATGGAAAATGTCCGTGTGTCGTGGAAAAATGAAACAAAGTTGAGTAATGCTATTGAGACTTAATTTACTGACTTAATTTGTTGACCTAATTCACTATAACAGTTGGATTAATTGTGAGCTCCATCAAACATTGGAACTTGGTGTTGATCCAATGGTTCTACTGAAGTCACATCATTATGTCAGTAAATTAGGTCAANATGAAACAAAGTTGAGTAATGCTATTGAGACTTAATTTACTGACTTAATTTGTTGACATAATTCACTATGACAGTTGGATTGATTGTGAGCTCCATCAAACATTGGAATTTGGTGTTGATCCAATGGTTCTACTGAAGTCACATCATTATGTCAGTAAATTAGGTCAAATTTTTAGGTTTAAATAGAATTACTCAACAAAGTCATATTGTTCGGAGCAAAGCGAGACAACTTTCCATCGAATTTGAACAGATATTAGTCATTGGGCATGCAAAACAAATGACCGTTACAGTATTTGATGATTCAATACGAAAAACATTATAATTGAGGGGACAATGTGAGACAGGAATCATAGTTGAGGGGTCAAAATATAATTTTATCAAATATTTATTTCTATGATGCGGAAACAAAAATGAATGTTTATGGTGATCAACAAGTAATTGCAAGGAAAAAAAAGTGAATCAGCTACACACACTCTCTCTCTCTCTCTCACACACACACACATATAATATNGTTTATGGTGATCAACAAGTAATTGCAAGGAAAAAAAAGTGAATCAGCTACACACACACACTCTCTCTTTCTCTCTCTCTCTCACACACACATATAATATATATATGTATGTATAATTTGTTCAAAGTTCAAATTTACCTGCAAAAATCTATGCCAATCCTCAACAGCCTCTTTGAGCATGCTAATCCCAACAACAAACAGCAGGGGAGCAATCAAGCTAACTGGAGAAAAAGGAGCCAAAGATGTGACAGACAACACCGCAGCCAAGAGAAAATAAAAGTTTGCAACTCTTCGAAATTGCTCAAAAAGTGCTCTGGGAAGGAAAGTCACAACATTATACTTGGTTGTGGATATGTAATTGTTGGGGTATTTGTGTGGCTTGATTTTGTGAAGCTGAGGTTCATTGCAGAAAACCACCCGGGAAAATCCTGACCGTCCAAAAAGATCAAGATCACCTGTACTGGGTCGCATGCATGAAAATGTATATAGTTTGCTCCATTTGATCTTCCTTTTTGGCCTCCTTGATGCCTCTGCCATTTTAAAGGGTACGTACACAAATCTAACAGTAGTTAATGAAGCTCTCTCATGAACCAGAAAGTATCAAACAGTTGGTAAAGTCTCTCTCATCAAAACTGAGAATTCAAAAAAAAAAAGTGTATACCATTTAAAAGGGTATGTAAATGAAGCTCTCATCAACTGGAAAACATCAAACAGTTGGTGGAGTCTCTCTCTCATCAAAACTGGAACTCAAAACCCATCTCATAAATAAGAAAAACCCAGCAAAATGAAGTGTAGATTATACTGCACAGGGTGTGTTTTTAGCAAAGAATAGTAAAGGGTATTTAAGAAAATCCAATCAAGAATCTTTGGTTTTGACGAGCACTCTCGAAATGAAAATTATTAAATNAGCAAAATGAAGTGTAGATTATACTGCACAGGGTGTGTTTTTAGCAAAGAATAGTAAGGGGTATTTAAGAAAATCCAATCAAGAATCTTTGGTTTTGACGAGCACTCTCGAAATGAAAATTATTAAAANATGAAGCTCTCTCATGAACCAGAAAGTATCAAACAGTTGGTAAAGTCTCTCTCATCAAAACTGAGAATTCAAAAAAAAAAAAGTGTATACCATTTAAAAGGGTATGTAAATGAAGCTCTCATCAACTGGAAAACATCAAACAGTTGGTGGAGTCTCTCTCATGAAAACTGGAACTCAAAANTTCAAAAAAAAAAAAGTGTATACCATTTAAAAGGGTATGTAAATGAAGCTCTCATCAACTGGAAAACATCAAACAGTTGGTGGAGTCTCTCTCTCATCAAAACTGGAACTCAAAACCCATCTCATAAATAAGAAAAACCCAGCAAAATGAAGTGTAGATTATACTGCACAGGGTGTGTTTTTAGCAAAGAATAGTAAAGGGTATTTAAGAAAATCCAATCAAGAATCTTTGGTTTTGACGAGCACTCTCGAAATGAAAATTATTAAAATTTTCTATTCCTAAAAGTATCTTCCCTCTTGGGGGCATCTATTTTTATGTTCCTTAACCGTCTGGCTACAATAATAAAAGAGATACTTCCAATACTGAACTTTTTGGACTCTCTTGTATCTAGCTGGCTTGGCACAAACAACTTTTTTTTTTAATTTTTTGATGAACATGCACAGAGTCGCACATAAAAAACCCAACTTAACACGAGTTAAGTGCAACTGAATAGAGAGAGAGAGAGCTCTCTGAGACTCATTAAACCACAAAATTCAGGCAATTGCTGACTGGATAGGGGGTCCAATAACCATTAAGTACTCGCTCACCCCCGTTGTGCCGCTCAATGTGGGATAAGGTNTTGGACTCTCTTGTATCTAGCTGGCTTGGCACAAACAACTTTTTTTTTTAATTTTTTAATGAACATGCACATAGTCGCACACAAAAAATCCAATTTAACACGAGTTAAGTGCAACTGAATAGAGAGAGAGAGCTCTCTGAGACTCATTAAACCATAAAATTCAGGCAATTGTTGACTGGATAGGAGTCCAATAACCATTAAGTACTCGCTCACCCCCATTGTGCCACTCAATGTGGGATAAGACTTTTTGATGATCATACACAGAGTTATACATACAAGAAACCCAACTTACACGAGCTAAATGTAACTGAATAGAGGGAGAGAGAACTTTCTAAAACTCACTGAGCTACAACACCCAGGCAATTGCTGACTGGACGAGGGTGCAATGGCTATTAAGGATTCACTCACCCCGCTGCGTCGCTCATATGGGATAAGGNACTTACACGAGCTAAATGTAACTGAATAGAGGGAGAGAGAACTTTCTAAAACTCACTAAGCTACAACACCCAGACAATTGCTGACTGGACGAGGGTCTAATGGCTATTAAGGATTCACTCACCCCGCTGCGTCGCTCAATATGGGATAAGGTTTTTTTTGATGAACAAACAAT